TCCGTCTCATCTTTCTCACCCGAACCACCACCCACCCATTCCCACGATTCCTGAAAGCAGGCTGAAGAGGGCCTTCCGCCCTACCTTCCGGCATAGTCCGGAGGGACTGCCCACCCACCAGCATTACTGGCTGGTGGGAATGAAACACCCAAAAGTTTTTTAAAGTTTTTTCATACTTACTAACCACTCTGTTGTCAACATTCGAGTAAGTCTACAACATTTATTTATTGTTAATTGTCTGTCTGTTTTCATTGTTTTTGTATATTATTTTTGTGTCTTGTTGTGTTCTTGTGTCTTTTCAACTTTTATGTTTTTCGTCTGTTGTATATTTCTTTTTTCATTCATAGTTTTTGTTGCGTGTACATAAATTCAAGTTATTGTTATATCTTAGTGTTTTATTTGTGTTTTTATTTATTAAACATACCCTAAACGCTAAAGTAAGATAGTTTCGGGAGTGTAATATACTCCTTTGAGGGTATTTCTAGCTAGAGTTATTTTAAAAACTCGCTTACGAGAATGATATTATATGGAAATCTGAGAAACTTCTCTTACTGTCATCATATTTCACGAAACAATTTCGTTAGCGTTCATTTAGGTTCGGCTACAGATAATTTTTTTTTTCCTTTTGAAAAGTAATATTATTTTATCAATGCTAATTACATTAACCACATGAATCCCTTTGCATTGTGCATTAACAACCGAATGCTTATGTATCTACATTACTTTTATTTTGGTAAATTCACCTACAATTTTTGTTTTATTTAAAAAAGGGAAGGAATTAGTTAAAAAGAAACTGAGTCACATTGCCAACAGATTTATTATTAAATCATGAATCTAACTGTTTTTTACTATAAGCAGGGTATTACCTCCTGATAGATGTATGTTCGTTCTATATCGGCCAAGCCGTTCTCTTTAAGGACTTCATCAATTAGTTTAGCTTCCTTTTCTGTGTAACTTCTGTACCTGGTCCTCGCGTATAGTATTTCTGGAAAAACAAAAAATAATTGAAAATCCTAAGGACTAACGATGGATTTTTACAAAAGAAACTAAGAAATGATCAAGCAGAAATTAAAAACGATCATGCACATTATTACTTTAGCGACACTTCGCCTTTTTATTAAGACTTCCTCGAATTTAAATTGAAAAGGTCGTGTGTGAGGTTTTGAGTAAACTTTAAGTACGTAAGTCTATGCTATCTACAAAATCATTCAATTTTTCGTCATTAATATAAACATCCACGTTGCGTTTATGAGATTTTAGAAAAACAATTACTTTATATATGTATCCTAATTTTAAGGAAAACGAACCATTTATTTTCATAAAATATTTAACTAGGAAAACTCCAACAATTGTTTTTCGAAATCGAAACAATTGCTACAGTTTTTCTCGTTAAATATTTTATGAAAATAAACGGTGCGTTTTCTTTGAAAATAGTATAACGTCTTTTCACAATCACCCTACCGCAAATTCCATTTATTCGTATATATGAATACTCATCTGTTACCTCTTCTGTAGTTGCTGTCTATGTTGACGCAATTGTAATCGACGGTATAGGAAGTGCTATCGAACGCAAGAATTTTAAATTGCACTGAATCGGTAGCATTATTGGGTTTTACATTTATAATCCCTTCACCATTATCACTGGCGGATGTTGCTACACCATTGGATCCGGGAAGCCATTTATCATTTATTACATCTTTTTGGGTCAAAGTGTATTCCGACTCATTATAGTATTTCCCGATATTTCTATAGCTTATTACCTGGCAGTCGGCCGCTATGTTGAAAGTAAATACTGTAAACCATCTTCTTAAAAGACCAGCAAATGAATACTGTTAAAAAAAAAGTTCTGAGTCAAGCTACTTTTATAAATAATAGTGAAGTAACTGTCTGTAATATATCAAAATAACCACCTCTTAAATAACTGTATATATATTATTTGTGTCATATTAAGGTACAACTAACCCTTGAAATATTTTTTGTATGTCTGTTTGTCTGTTTGTCAATCTGTCTGTACGCTTTAACGTAAAAGGTTCGATGTGCTATTTTTAAATTTACGTTATGCATCAATCGACAAAGGAAAATTACCAAAAGGTAATTGAAGCTAAAATTCAATTGGGCACCACATTGCGAAAGCGAAGAAGAATAATAATTAAAATAAAAGATAGAAATAACAAAAAACAAAAAAAATGTGAATGACACAGTAGATTCTGAAAAGTAATAGACACATCGCGGGAACTTCAAAAAGACTAAGCGGAAAACTTCAAGTTGAGAATGAAGCAAAGGATTACCTAAGCAGAAATATTTTAATTAAGAAAAATCAGTTTTTTACTGTTTTAATGGTATTTTTTTCACAATGATTTATTGGTTAATATTCTTAATTGCTCATTGTTAAATTATAACTCAACAAACAAAGTGACAAGTGAAAGCTGGTTTAAAATTAAGTCAACTTACTGAATTAATTCCTAGGTAATTTTTTACTGGTTTTATTTTTCTGTCTTCACATTGACCTCGAGAGATGTATTGTGAATAAGAAATTGAAATTAATGCAAGAAACACAATCGCGAAAAGTTGCTTAGACATTTTTACTAGCTACTTCTAAAGTGTTACTGGCAAAGTGTAATGGATCTGTATTTTTCTGGATGTATATATGAGAAAAGATTTTTCATCGAATCAATTCATTAATTAGTCGTATCGAACGATACATAAGTTGTTTCTCGGAAATCTCTTATCTCTGAACCACTTAGCGCTTGTAAGTATAAGGGAAAAAAGGTAGTTTAACGGGACGTTGTAGTCCCGTTACGTGAGGGGGTTGGGGAAGTAAAAAAAAATTGATGAATTTTGCAGTGTGTAATTTATGGGCCGCCATATACAATAACTGAATAGTCGGTACCATAAATGGCGCCATTTCCTGTGCAATTTTTTGCATTTGTAAAAAATGTTGATAATCAAATCAAATTCATTAATCGTATCGAACAATAAGCTGTTTATTCTCAGAAATCTTTCATCTTTCGAACACTTAGCGATTGTAAGCGTATTTCGAAAAAAAAGATTGTTCATAAAGATTTGAAGAATTTTGCGATACGTAATTTATCGGTTGGCATATACAACAATTCGGTACAGTCGTTATTATAAAGAGCAGTATTTTTTGTGCATTTTTCTCAATTTGATATAAAAACGAAATTAATTAATCTTACTAGATAGGCATTGAAGTATGTGTTTTTTTCTCTGCCGGAAATGTGCAATCATCTTTCATCCTTCAGCCTGTGTATTATGAAAACTTATGTAGTAATTATTTTTTAATTATAGATCTGTAGAGGTTATAGATCGTATATTTAAGCTAGTTAGTCACATTTACGAGACGGTGAAAGTCCTAGAGGATTATAAACAGAACGTAGTAATAACATTACTTAAAAAGAGGGGTGCGGACAGGTACGAGATATATAGAACAATTACCTTAACTTCCCATGCGTCAAAAATCTTAACTAGAATTGTGTAGAGGAGGATGATAAAATGGGCGGAAGAAGTATTAGGGGATGATCAATTTGGGTTTAGAAGGAATAGACAAATGTGGGAGGCCGTTTTAGCTTTATGGATAAACAATAAAGAAAACTATAGAAAAAAGAAAGAGTGCGTACATGGGATTTGTAGATTTAGAAAAAGCTTTTGACAATGTTAAATGGGACAAGATGTTAAATATACTTAATAATAGTGNTTATTGCTGTGGAGGAGGCGTGTTTAGAGAGTAAAGACAGGATATCTTCCGTTTGTAAGAACGAGAAAAACGATATGCCTTTTGTGTGCATTATTTATTGGGGACTTTGCCTTCTTATTTCGACTGTACTATAGAAATATTTCATCTCTGGAACACTTAGTGGTTGTAAGTGTATTTGATTAATGTTGCGGTACGTAATCACATACAATAATTCGGTACAATCGTTATTATATAGAGCAGTATTTTTTGTGGATTTTTATTGATTTGATAAACAAATCAAATTTATTAATCTTATTAGGTAGGCACTGAACAATTTGTTAACAATACATTTTCATCGGCGTATCTTAAGCTTCCTACATTAAATTATCAATGCCAATCTCATTAATGACAAGAATTTCTCTGCATTTAACGTTAACGAACGAATACTATCCCACCTATTGATGTGAAACTTCTTTACGCACGGTAGGGTAAGTTCGTTTCATGCGAGTTTTTCTATGTAACGAAATCATGCAACGGATGTCCCCCCTCTACTCGGCCACGTAGTCGGGAACGCATGAGCCGTGAGCGCGCTCCAATGCAACGTTCGTTACAGGCAACTCCGCAATGTATTAGGTAAAATTTAAATTCATAGTGTACAAATAATACCATCAAACCAATTCCTTAACCCCTATTCCGGCATGTTTGTGTGTTTGAAGAAGTTTCACTTCAGTAGCGTGTTGTATAATTACACGTTGTATTTTTTTTATTTCTCTTTTTATAAATTCAAGTGATTACCTACTATTTTTCATTTATTCAAAAGAAGAGGAAATTCATTCAAAAAAGTCATTTACTGCTATTAGATTTAATATTTATTCATTTCGTACAAATTTCACGAATTTAATTGTTTTTTTTTTTTTACTAAAAGCAGATATTTAGATCCTGATTAGCGTATTTCCGTTTTATATCGGCCAGGCCGTTATCATTAAGGATTTTATCAACTTCTTTAGCTGTCGAATCGATGTAGTTACGGTACCTGCTCCTCGCATATAATAATTCTGGAAAAACAAAAAATAGTTGAAAATATATAGAGAAGGTTAGAAATGAAGAGGTATTAGAAAGAATAGGAGAACAGAGGACTCTATGGAAGTCAATAAAAAATAGGCAAGGTAGGTTGGTAGGACTCCTCCTCAGGCATGAAGGGCTAGTCAGAGACATATTAGAGGCAGAAACAGGAGTTAGGAGGGGTAGAGGTATACTTAGATTACGGTAGGAAAGAGTTGTTGAGGTGCGTGTCCAAACAGTCCCAGGACTAAGGACCTTATGATGTTGATGATAGCCAATTGTATCGTGTGTGACATGTTGGATAAACTTTAGGTTTACTATCCAAAAACTCATTCACTTTTTTGTCATAAATATAAAGTTCAACGTTGCCTTTATTCGGTTGTAGCGGAAAAACGTACATTATTTGTAAATATATAATACGATTCATTAAGCTTTCTTTAACATTCTTTTAAATTTGTTTTTGCATCACTTATTTTTTTCAATAATATCTGGTTTTACCGTTAAGCGCCTTCTCTTGAATTCTATACTGTTCAATTCTATTGTTATTTGTTTTTGTGTTTTATTTAGTATTTTCATTAATATTAACATTAAAAGGCGCTAAAAGGTTTTAGAAAAAAAATACTTTGTATCACTCTTACCTCTTCTGTGGGTGCTATTTATATTGACGCAATTATAATCAATTGTATAGTAATTGTTATTGTACCCAAGAATTCTAAACTGCGTCACGCCTTCAGTATTGTTGAATTTTACATCTACAACCTTTTCACCGTTATAATTTCCCAGTGATATCACGCCATCATCATCAGGATACCGTTTACCAGTTAATACATCTTTTTGTGACAAAGTAAATTGCGATTCATTCACTGACTTTGTTCTTCTTCTAAAGTTTAGTTCCTGGCAGTCCGCTTCGATGTTGGAAGTAAACACAGTGAACCATCTGCGCAAAAACTGATCACCTCCATACTATCGAAAAAGTTATTAGTTGAGTTACTTTTACAAATAACATTGATCATTCTTCCTCTATTTTTTAAATATCACGTCTAACTAAAAACTACACATTCAGTCAACCTTTTTCCAATGTTTTATTAACTAATATTCTTAATTGCTCATTGTTAAATTATAACAACTCAAATTTCATGAGAACAAAGTCACAAGTAAAAACTAGTTTAATAAAAAGTCAACTTACCACACCAATTAGTGGGAACTGTTCTACTGGTTTTATTTTTCTGTCTTCACACTGGCCTCGAGAGACATATTGTGAATAAGAAGATGAAATTAGTGCAAGAAAAACAACAGCAAAAAGTTGCTTAAACATTTTTACTAAGTACTTCTAGCCTGTTGTTTGCAAAGTATAGTGATTCTAAATTTTTTTGGATGTGTATATATATATGTAGATAAGTTGTTGAAAAAATGAAATTAATCGATCGTATCGAACAATAAGCTGTTTATTCTCAGAAATCTTTCATCTTTCGAACACTTAGCGACTGTAAGTGTATTTCGGGGAAAAAGATTGTTCATAAATATTTGAAGAATCTTGCGATACGTAATTCCACTTACAATAGTAAGTTCCCGAATATCTGCCTGTGAAATTTAACAATATATATGTAGATAATTTGTTAAAAAAATGAAATTAATCGATCGTATCGAACAATAGGCTGTTTATTCTCGGAAATCTTTCATCTTTCGAACACTTAGCGGTTGTAAGTGTATTTCAGGGAAAAAGATAGTCCAGCCGGATGATATTGATATGGTACTGTTAGGTGAGAGTTACAGAAGTGAAAAATTGACGAATTTAGCGATACGTAATTTATCGATCATCAATTTAATGGTCGCCATTTTAAAGAGCAGGATTTTTTCTATTTCTATAGAGCACTTGATAAACAAATTAAATTACGTACATAATTTATCTGCCGCCATGTACAATAATACAATATGATAATGAAATCAAATTAATTAATCGTATCGAACAATAAGTTGTTCTCGAAAACTGTCATCTCACAATCTCTTCGCAGTTGTAAGTGTATTTGGGGGAATATAAGAGTTCAACCGGGCTTTATGGGGCTATGACGTTGTGCAGGCCAAAAATTGGTGAATTTTGCGATACGTAATTTAAGGGCCGCCATATACAATAATCGAATAGTCGTTATCATAAAGGGCTGTATTTCCTGTGCATTTTTTTTGTATTTGTAAAGAGAAATTGATAATGAAATCAAATGAATTAATCGTACCGAACATAAGCTGCTTATTCTTAGAAATCTTTCATCTCTGAAACACTTAGCGATTGTAAGTGTATTTCGAGGAAAAAAATACACCAGCCGGGCGTTAATATTCCGTTGCGTGAGAGTTACCGAGGTAAAAAATTGATTAATGTTGCGGTACATAATGGACAGTCACACAATAATTCGGTACAGTGGTTATTGTATGGAGCAGTATTTTTTGTGAATTTTTACTGATTTGATAAACAAATCAAATTTATTAATCTTATTAGGTAGGCATTAAACAATATGTCAACATTGCATTTTCATCGGCGTATATTAATCTTTCTCCATTAAATTATCAATGCTAATCTCATTGATAAGAAGAATTTCTCTGCATTTATCGTAAACTAACGAACACTTACCTGCCTATTTGATTTTTCTTCTTATAAATACAAATAATTACGTACTATGATTCATTTATTGAAAAAAGGAAGGAATTAATTGAAAAAACTCATTCAAGTTGCTAACAGATTTAATATCAATTCATTTCGAACAAATTTCATGAATGTACTGTTTTTTTTTAAATAAGCAGGTATCAATATCCTGAACAGCATATGTTCGTTTTATATCAGTTAGGCCGTTGTCTTTAAGGATTTTATCAACTTCTTTAGCTATTGAATTTGAGTACATTCGGGTCCTGCTCCTCGCATATAATAGTTCTGGAAAAACAAAAANATAATACTGAAGTAACTGTCTGCAATATATCAAAATAACCACCTCTTATATAAGTCTGTATATTATTTGTGTCATATTAAGGTACAACTGACCCTTAAAATATTTTTTGTATGTCTGTTTACGCTTTAGCGTAAAAAGTTCGGTGTGCTATTTTTAAATTTACGTTATGCATCAATTGACAAAGAAAAATTATTAATTGAAAGTAAAATTCACTCGGGCTTCACATTGCGAAAGTGAAAAACCATTATAATTAAAATTAAATGTAGAAATAACAAAAAACAAAAAGAAAATGTGAATAACACAGTAGATTCGGAAAAGTAATACATCGCGGGAACTTCGAAAAGACTAAGCGGAAAACTTCTAGTTGAGATGTGACAAGTAAAAGCTAGTTTAAAATTAAGTCAACTTACGAAACCAACTCCTGGGAAATTTTTTACTGGCTTTATATTTCTGTCTTCACACTGGCCTCGAGAGACATATTGTGAATAAGAAAATGAAATTAATGCAAGAAAAACAATCGCGAAAAGTTGCTTAGACATTTTTACTAGCTACTTCTAAAGTGTTACTGGCAAAGTGTAATAGATCTGTATTTTTCTGGATGTATATATACCTATATGTACGATGAGAAAAGATTTTTCAGCCTATCGATTCATTAATTAATCGTATCGAACAATACATAAGTTGTTTCTCGGAAATCTCTTATCTCTCAACCACTTAGCGCTTGTAAGTATAAGGGAAAAAAGGTAGTTTAACGGGACGTTGTAGTCCCGTTACGTGGGGGGGGGGTGTTGATGAAGTAAAAAAATTGATGAATTTTGCAGTGCGTAATTTATGGGCCGCCATATACAATAACTGAATAGTTGGTACCATAAAGGGAGGCATTTCCTGTGCAATTTTTTGCATTTGTAAAAAATGTTGATAATCAAATCAAATCAATTAATCGTATCGAATAATAAGCTGTTTATTCTCAGAAATCTTTCATCTTTCGAACGCTTAGCGACTGTAAGTGTATTTCGGGGAAAAAGATTGTTCATAAATATTTGAAGAATCTTGCGATACGTAATTTATCGGTTGGTATATATATGTATATATATATATTTATATATATTCGATAGTTGTTATTTTAAAGAGCAGTATTTTTTGTGAATTNATATATTCGGTATTTAAACATTGTATAATTTGTTTGTTCACAGTTCTGTAACCAGCCAACGATTAAAACCAGCTCAAAAAAAAAACCAAAGCTTCAGCTGAGCGACAGCGAGAGTACAGACTCCGGCGAAAAAAACTGAATAGAGCACAAAATATTCATGAAGATAAGCCAGCCTTTAACGGCTTCAAATATCCAAAAAAACAAGCGAGATTGCAAGAATTAGATATCATTTCTGAGAGACTCATCTCACCGAGGCTGCCGTTTATGCAAATACGTAGATTGCGACATTTTAACGGCCAGTTCGCTATAACCGGGCACATAATTAATGTACCTGTCTCAGTTAATAATATGACAAATCTGTTACCCAGACGACTTGATGGATAAGAAGAAAAGTTTTGTATAAATGTGCACATCAAAAAAAACTTATTCATAAAACGAGTTATCTTCGTGGGTTGGTTAAAAGGTCTGTTATCAAACAATGGTTAACATAACAAAATTAAAGTAGATGATGTCTGATTCACAACTAATGATAACAACGTTATAATTGATTACACGGGTACAGAGAACTCTTCAAATTATGACAATATACAAGCGCATATCTCCCCTGAAACTGCAGATCACGCAATCCCTGTTAACCCTGATTCGAGATAAGAGCGAATACACATTGATGACTTAAGTGAATATATTGCAATTGATGAAAGTCTTACAGCGCAATAGCAAACTCTCATGTGGAACGAAGATAACTTCTTACAAATCGCTCCAGGAGAGAATAAAGTTCCAGAGAATTTGTTATTTGATAAGTACGCAGAAGAATTATCGTTTCCAGCGATTTACCTTGGGGAATTTCGTATATTTCGAGATGAAATTACAATCACACCATCTATGATGGCAACAAGTGAATTGCGTCGTTCAAATAGGAGAGGAGTAGTCCCAAATAGGCTTCTTTATACTGCGATGAAGTTATTGCGTCTGAGAGTTTGTGATGGTTTAAAAATTGTGTTTAAACATATCGGCAAGAACAATAATATATCAAAAGAGCACATATTATCTGAACATTATATCAACATCTGCTTAGAGAGCAACTTAGCTTTCATGAAGTCTATACCGAATTCTGCAGCTTATTGGTCTGCGCGTAAGCGTCATTTGTTTGCAATGATGCGTCAATTGGGAAAGCCAACCATGTTTTTGATGATCAGTGCTAATGAAACAGTGAAAGAATCAAGGAGAAGAGCTGATAGATGAGCAGAGAAATTTAGTACATTTGGAAAATATAGAGTTCTTAATTACTTCAAACGCATTGAATTCCAACATAGGGGTAGTCCACACGCCCACATATTATTATGGTTGGATAATGCACCCACGGACGCGTTGGGGGTCAACTACGAAGGAGCGATTGCATTAATTAATGCTCTCAGTAAGTTCATCAGAAGCTTCTGGACACGTAAAACTTCAAACACATAAGCACACTTTCACGTGCTTTAAAAATACCCGTGCGAAGATTCGGCAATGCAGGTTCGAGACGCCTTTCATGTCTATCCGTAAAACTACCATTCTCGTACCACTAGAGAAAGAAAATCCAGAGTTGAAAATACTCAAATCACGATACAAAGATATACGAAAAAGCTAGAAGATAATGATTACAACGTCATTGAGAACTTTTATCAAGCTAATCACATGATATCGGATGACGATTATGTAAACATTTTACGAGCTGGGATAACTCGACCTCGAGTATTTATAAAACGGCAACCTTCCGAAAAATGGCATAATTGCTTTAATCCTTTCATACTGAACGTGATTGTATCCAATATGGATTTCCAATTTATCATTGAGGAATATTCATGCGCTCAGTACGTCGTCGATTATATCAATAAGACTAACAGAGGAATCAACAATTTACAACAGAAACTCGTTGAGATTATGAACGAGAATCCAGAATTTGATATTATCGCTGCTACAAAGAAACTTAGTGTCAACTTACTCAATAGTGTTGAAATGTCAAGTCAAGAAGCTGCTTGGTTTCTATTACGTGAACCCATATCCAAGGCATCGGTTGCTGTTGATTATATACCTTCTTACTGGCCACAACAGCGAGAACGAATCAGAAAAACTTTGAAGGAACTAGATGATAATGATATACACATATGGAAGGAGAATTGTTTCGACAAGTACGAAAAGAGACCTGTTGAACTTGATGACGTCACTCTAGCCCAATTTGTGTCTCGATATAATGTCACTGCTAAAGGAAAATTAAATAAACGGAAAA